ATTTCATCTAGGTTATCAAATTTGTTGGGGTACAGCTGTTCATAGTACTCTCTTATAATTCTTTTTATTTCTGTAAAATGGGTAGTAATGTCCTTTCATTTCTGATTTCAGTATTTGAATCTCTTCTCTTTTTTTCTTATTAGTCCATCTAGCTAAAGGTTTATTACTTTTGTTGATTTTATTCAAGGAGCTAACTTTTGGTTTCATTGATTTTTCCCTATAGGTTTTCTTTTCTCTAATTGATGCTGTAGTCTTTTTTATTTTCTTCCTTTTGCTATGTTGGGTCAATTTGTTCTTTTTCTAGGTCCTTGAGATATAAAGATAGGTTGTTGATTTGAGATTTTTCTTATTTTTTTAAAGAATTTATTTATTTATTTGAGAGAGAGATAGCAAGAGAGAGCACAAGTGAGGAGGAGAGGGAAAAGCAGGCTCCTTGCTGAGCAGGGAGCCCCAATTCAGGGCTCAATCCCAGGACTCTGGGATCTTGACCTGACCTGAAGGCAGACGCTTAACTGACTGAACCACCCAGGCACCCCGATAATTATCTTTTAAAATCTATTGAGACTTAATCTGTGGCCGAACACATGGTCTATCCTGTAAAATGCACTTGAGAATAATGTGAATGCTGTTATTGTTAAGTATTCTGTATATGTCTGTTAGATATAATTAGTTTCTTGTGTTAAGTCATCTGTTTCCTTACTTTCCTTTAATCTGGTTGTTCTATCCATTATTGATAGTAGGGTATTGAAGTGTCCAACTATTATTGTACATCTGTCTGTTTCTCCCTTCCATTCCATCAGGTTTTGCTTTACACATTTTCCTGGTCTGTAATTAGGTACATAAATGTTTATAATTGTTATATTTTCTTGCCATATTGAACCTTTTATTAATAGATAGTGTCTTTCTTTGCCTCTTTTTTTTTTTAAAGATTTTATTTATTTATTTGACAGAGAGAGACAGTGAGAGAGGGAACACAAGCAGGGGGAGTGGGAGAGGGAGAAGCAGGCTTCCCATGAGCAGGGAGCCCGACGCAGGGCTGGATCCCAGGACCCCAGGATCAGGACCTGAGCAGAAGGCGGACGCTTAACTGACTGAGCCACCCAGGCGCTCCTCTTTCTTTGCCTCTTGTTACCTTTTTTGATATAAAGCCTATTTGTCTGGTATCAGTATAGCCACCTCTGCTGATTTGTGTTACAATTTGCACAGAATATCTTTTTTTAATTCTTCATTTGTAATCTGTGTCTTTGGATCTAAAACAAATTTCTTGAAGAGAGCATAGAGTTGGGTCATATGTTTTAATTTATTCTGCCAATGTCTGTTGTAGTGTTTAATCCATTAACATTTAAAATAACTACTGAGAAGGAGGAACTTTGGTCACTTTGTTACTTTTGTCATGTCTGTAAATATTTGTTATTTTGTTTCTGTCATCTCTTACTGTTATTTCTATGTGCCTTTATATCTTTTATGTCCCTTATTTCCTGTAATACTATTTTATGTATGTATGTTTAATTTTTTTGTAGTGAAATGTTTAAATCTTTTATTTCTTTTTGTGTCTATTCTATACCTATTTTCTTTGTGGTCACCATGGGAATTACATTTAACATCCTAAATTTATTAACACTCTGATTTGAACTTATACCAGCTTAATTTCAGTAACACACGAAAACTCTGCTCCTGTACAGCTTCATTCTTACCTCTTCTGGTTGTTGATAATTACGTCTTTGTAGATGGTGTGCTCCAAAACACAAGCTAGTAATTCTTTCAGGCGCACTAGTCTCTTAAATTACATAGGAAATGTAGGTATGTGTGGAGTCACAAACCAAAATTACAAGGGTACGATCTTTTAGACTAATTGCTTTTTCTTTAGATGCATTAGTCTCTTAAATTATGTAGAAAACAAACAGTACAGTTACAAACCGTCGTTATAATACTACTAGGTTTTACATTGGCCCATATATTTACTTTTATTGAGATCTTTCTCCATACAGCTTTAAATTACTGTCTAGTACCCACCCCATCCTTTCACCTTGTAGGATTCCCTTGAGCTTTTCTTGCAGGGCAGGTCTAGTGGCCACAGACTCCCTCAGTTTATCTGGGAATGCCTTCATTTCCCCCCTCACTTTTCAAGGACAGGGGTTTTTTTGCAATAGGAGTCTGGTTTATAGTTGTTTTTCTTTTAACACTTGGAATATGTGGGCCCATTGCTTTCTGGCCTCCAAAGTTTCTGATGAGAAATCTGGGGATAACTTCATTGAGGATTCCTTGTCTGTGACAAGCTTTTGACTTGGTGTTTTCAAGATTCTTTCTTTGTCTTTGTCTTTTGAAAGTTTGGTTATAGTGTGTCTCAGTGTGGGTCTCTGAGTTTGTCTTACTTGGAGTTCTTTAAATATTATAAATACTAGTCCTTTGTTGGAACTGTGGTTTACAAATATTTTGTCCCAGTCTATGGCTAGTCTGTAGGATCCTCTTAACAGGGTCAGAAGAGCAGAATTTTTTAAATTTTGATGAGGCCTAGCCTATCAGTTTTCTCTTTTATGGGTCATATTTTTCTTCAAGTCTAAGAGCTCTTTGTCTAACCCTCAGATCTCAAAGATTTTCTTTTGTAGTTTTTTTCCCCGAAAGTGAGTTTTACATATTTTATATATTTTATGTAGTTTTATATATTTAAGTCTGTAATCTATCTTGAACTAATTTTTATATAAAGTGTGTGGTGTGTCTCAAGGTTTATGTTTTTGTTTTTATTTTGCCTATACCTGTCCAATTGCTCTGCTATCATTTGTTGGAAAAACTGTCCTTATTCCATTGAATTCCTTCTGCACCTTTGTAAAAAAAAATCATTCGGGTATATTTGTGTGGGTTTGTTTCTGGGTTCGAAATTATTTTCCATTGATCTGTGTGCTTATCCCTTCTCTAATAATACACTGTCTTGATTACTGTAGCTATATAATAAGCCTTAAAACTGGGTAGAGTGACTCCCTCTCACTTTATTCTCCCTTTTCAAGATTGTTTTATTTTGGGGTTGTGTCTTTCCATATAATTTTATTTTATTTTATTTTAAAAATTTCATTTGTTTATTTGAGAGAGAGAGCGTAAGTGAAAGAGAGCCAGATGTGGGACTTGATCCCAAGACTCTGGGATCATGACCTGATCCGAAGGCAGACACTTAACCGACTCAGCCACCCAGGCACCCCTCCATATAATTTTAGAATCAATTGACCTAATTATACAAAACACCTTGAGATTTCGATAGGAATTGCATTAAGCCTGTGGATCAATTTAAGAATTAACATCTTTATAGCATTGAGTCTTCCAGTCTATGAACACATATGTCTGTCTGTTTTTTAAATATTCCTGTACTTGTTGAGTTTATACCACAGTATTTTATTTTCTTTGTTAATTGTTAATGATACTCTGTTTTTGGTATTTTAGTTTCTATATATTCATTATTAATATATGTAAATGTGATTGATTTTTGTGTATTGGTTTTAAAAGTTTAAAAAGTAGCTTTTTTAAAAAAATATTTATTTATTTGACAGAGAGAGAGAAATAGCGAGAGCAGGAACACAGGCAGGGGGAGGGGCAGAGGGAGAAGCAGTCATCCCACTGAGCAGGGAGCCCAATGTGGGGCTTGATCCCAGGACCCTGGGATCATGACCTGAGGCAAAGGCAGATGCTTAATGACTGAGCCACCCAGACACCCCTAAAAAGTAGCTTTTTATTACTATTTCCTTATTTCTATTTTTTCTATGTATCTGTAGGTGATTTGTAGAACTGTCTTAGAGACAATTCTAACAGATTGGATAATTAATTGCAAACATTCATGCAGAGGCAGTATTATTATTTATAGTTTATAGTTTATACATTGAACCTAAGAATTTGCCAGGTTAGTATATTGACAGAGCTGAGATTCAAACCCAAGCTTGTACAGAGCTATTTACTATCTCAGGTTAAAAAAAAAATTTTGAAGGCATTTACATGGTATATTATTTAAGAAATTTAACTCCTAAAAATGATAGCTTGACTAGACTTGCTAGGTGTTTCAGTACTTATTTTCTCTATGGAGAATGCACAAGTATCTGCTGACATGTTGTGCATTGGGAAACGTTTGGTTTCATTGTCTCTACTCAATGCTTATAAAAAATTTTTTATATTTGAGGGGCGCCTGGGTGGCTCAGTTGGTTGAGTGACTGCCTTCGGCTCGGGTCATGATCCTGGAGTCCCGGGATCGAGTCCCGCATCGGGCTCCCTGCTCGGCAGGGAGTCTGCTTCTCCCTCTGACCCTCCCCCCTCTCATGTGCTCTCTCTCTCATTCTCTCTCTCAAATAAATAAATAAAATCTTTAAAAAAAAATTTTTTTTATATTTGAAATTTAAATATTCACCAGATTGGTATTCATTTATTCATTCCTTCATTTACCATTTATGTAGGTAGGTATTATGCTAGGTACTGGATATACAAAGATGAATAATACATAGTCTCTACTTTTAATTTGATTATAGTCAAGTACAGAAGACTAATAGGAAAGCAGATAAATATAGTAGAGGGTGGTAAGTTCTCTGATGAAAGTATAGTTGCTACACAGTAGTGTGCTGGAGCTGGTTCATGCCAGCACATGGGAGTCAATTATTAAATATTCAGAAACTTTGCAAATCTGTTTTACCAGCGGTAGCTTAAAATTGGCTACGGTAGGATTATTTACACCATGGAAATCGGCAAATGCTACAAATAGTGCTTTCTCTTTTTTCCTACTTTCTTTCTTTTTTCCCATCAGGACATCCAGTTTACTAACATTCCATGTTGGTACAGGAGCAGAGATATTAAATCCAGTCCTTTACCTCATTGCAACATGAACACATTCTGCATTATCATAAGTTGTCACAGGACTAGCTGCTTCTAGTGATTTAAGCAGCAGCCTCTCACAAACATTGTGGCCGTTACCCTTTTAAATGATGAAAGTGAGGTTAAGTCTAAATTCCCTGTGGGTTCTGTTTTTATTCCAGAGATTATAAAGCAGCTAACATCAAAATCAACTTATACATCGTCAATGAACCTTGGCTCTACTCACTGGCCTGGTGCTGCAGGATTCACTCAGTGACCACAGACAATATTCACATCCTGAGTCAGCTAAATCAGCCTTACTTCTTCATGGTGAGCTGGCTATCCAGATTGTTCTTTCAAGGCTGGTACAGTAGGAGTCTAAGTCCCTTACCCTATCCTTACATTGTCCACTGTGCAATCTCTTGGGAGCTACTTTTAATAGTAGAGACCTCTACGATGTTGGAGATGAGGATTCTCCCTTCTCTCGCCCAGATCCTTCTGTGATCTGCAGAGAGAAATTAGTATTGTTATAATAATTGTCGTTTATTGAATCTTCACAATGTGTTTTTTATGCATTATGTAATTTGACCCTCTGAGTTACTCATTTTTATTATCCCTATGAAGAAACTGAAGTTTGAAGATGTTAAGATTCTTAGGCATAGTCACATGATGCAAGATTCAGAATGAGGTCTGATTCCAGAGTTTTGTTACAGTAGCCCCACCTTCCTAGAGGCGTGGCCACCATGACAGTGGCATGGGCTCTGGGGAGAAAACCAAGTATATCTGACTCCAAAGTGAAAACTGGGTGACCTGAACAAACTGCTTTTGAAAAGGAGAACCAGTCTCAGGGTCGTGAGATTGAGCCCCGTGTTGGGCTCCCAGCTCAGTGTGGAGTCTGCTTGAGATTCTCTCTCTCCCTCTGCCCCTCCCCCTGCTTGCATCCTCTCTCAAAATAAGTAAATAAAAGTTAAAAAAAAAAAAAAGGAGAGCTAGTGTCCAGCTCACCTAGCTTGATTGCTCCTCCTAGGCCTGACGCTGCTTAGTGCCAGAGGCTTAGGGACCTGAACATGTGGGTATAATCACAGCTAAAATCTTATCATTTATTATCTGTGGAAGCAGCCCTGGATATCCAGTTAACTGCTACAGAGCTTTTTTTTTTTAAGATGTTTTATTTACTTATTTGACAGAGAGAACACACAAGCAGGGGGAGCGGGTGAGGGAGAAGCAGACTCCCCGCTGAGCAGGGAGCCCAACACAGGGCTCGATCCCAGGACCCCAGAGCTTAAGGCAGATGCTTCATCAACTGAGCCACACAGGCGCCCCTGTTACGGAGCTCTTATCTGTGTAGAGTAGCTTGACTGAGTCAGACACAATAGTGTACAACAGAAAGAACTTAATTTCTTTTCATTGGCTGTTTAAACTGCTCTCTGAGCTAACCTTTCCCTGCTCCTGAGTGAAATCTTACTCAGGTCCCATAACTTTTCTAGTCACTTTTAGGTAACTTTAAAATTTCACTTCCAGGGCGCCTGGGTGGCTCAGTTGGTTAAGCGACTGCTTTCGGCTCAGGTCATGATCCTGGAGTCCCTGGATCGAGTCCCGCATCGGGCTCCCTGCTCGGCAGGGAGCCTGCTTCTCCTTCTGACCCTCCCCCCTCTCATGTGCTCTCTCTCTCTCATTCTCTCTGTCTCAAATAAATAAATAAAATCTTTAAAAAAAAAAAAAATTTCACTTCCAGTCACCAAAAAGTCTCAATTCAGAATAGAAGTGTGTAGTTGAGAGTACACCCAAACTCCAAGTGTCTTAAAAGGTAAATCTTTGGGCAGAGAAGCCCAAATGAGAAGCATAAATATTTCAGGCTGCCTTCTCCATACCTCTGGCCTCACTAGCCCTTGTTTCGGTCAGGACCAGGAGAAAGCGAATCAGGGTCAGGGCACAATCTCATAGAGCCGGGCTTGCACTGAGGCCCTGTGGTGGCAGGGTAAAATTACTGACACCTTTTTTCTTGCTGGCTTGGGCAACTTTCTGGAGATGACCCTGAAGAACACCTTGAATGGCAGGTCCCTTGGCTAGGTGAAGCTTTCTACTTGTCTGTCCTCATACAAATTTCCTTCATACATGTACTATATATTTTTCTAACATTTTGTTTTTTTAAATTGATTACAACATAAGCCTGTTCATTATGTGAAATTCAGTCATTATAAAAATACATAAATCAGAAAGCAACACATGTAATCCTATTCTCCTAAGTCAGTAATGTCTCAAAGTTGTGCCTTTGGATATATTAAATGAAGCCTTATTAAATAAAGCTTTTTATTTTAATACTTGAATTGATACTATTTGAAATAATAAATTCATGTGATTCAAAAGTAAAAAAGTATAAAAGGATGTAAAGTTAAAAAAATACTTTCTTCTACACCTTGCTATAGTTTTTTTAAAGGACCTAGTGTCACTTTGTTCAGCAAAGTGGGACCAGTATCCTCAGGGCTTTCCCAAGCAGCTCACACTCTGGAGTTAGAATATGCAGTTGTAAATCTTGGCTCTACCACTTACTGTGTGAACTTGGAAATGTTAGCTTGTCCGTGCCTGTTTGTTTATTAGTAAATTGGGGATAATGATAGTACAACAGAAGTACTTTTATCCACCACAGTTTAATCTGATCATTGGTCTGTTAATTGAAAAAGTTGAAGTGGGGAATCATAAATATGTGTGTGTGTGTGTGTGTTTGTATTTACAGTCTATCAGCTTTTACTACTTAAAAAACCCACCTAAAATGTAGTGGCTTAAAACAAACAAATATTTATTTGTCATATTCTTTGTGATGGCTACGTGGTCCTGTGGTCTGAGCCAGCTTGGTGTAGAGTGGGTGCATCCATATGTTTAGGGTCTTACCTGGAATGCCTGGGGTCTCTCTTTATGTGATCACACATCCTCAAGGAGGCCAGCTTGAGCTTGTTCACTTGGTGGCAGTGGGTTCCCAGCAAGCAAAAGAGGTGAAGCCCCAATGCAATACAGTTTTCAAAGTTTCCCAGGTGTGATTTTTGCTGAAGTTCCATTGGCCAAAGAAAATTACATGGCCAAGTCCAGATTCAAGGTGGGATAAGAGAGAAAAAGATTCATTTCCTGATGGGGAGGAACAACAAAGTCACAGTGTATACAGGCCTGCATTTTGGTTGCAGTACTGTCATTTTTATAAACAATCTATCACATACATACTTCACACATTGTATTTTAATTTAAAATATTCATTTACCTTGTAACATAGAGTCAAGGTCTTTGAGGTTACTTCAGCTGGTGGAATTCTATATTCATTTGTTTATTCAAACACCCAAATGAACCAGCTATGATTTCTAAGTTTTGTTTCTTTAAAGCAGAACAAGAACATAAAGGCATTGGGAGAAACAGTCTGAATGAGGGATTCACTGAGATTTTCATAATCCTCTTATCCCAATCTCTTACAGTGTTTCACTCATACCCCATTCAGTTGTAGTTTATTTTTTAATGATCTCTTCTGTCTTCACTGAGATTTTCAAAGCATTGGCTTGGTTTTCTTGAAAATGGCGTACTTCTTTTTCACTTAGATTTACAGATTTGAGTAACATTTCATTACACAGCACAGTTGTAACAAGTACACTGTCTAAGTCATTTTAGGGAGCAAGAACGACTAATTCTTTTTTTTTTTTTTAAAGATTTTATTTATTTATTTGAGAGAGAGAATGAGAGACAGCACAAGAGGGAAGAGGGTCAGAGGAAGAAGCAGACCCCCCGCTGAGCAGGGAGCCCGATGCGGGACTCGATCCCGGGATTCCAGGATCATGACCTGAGCCGAAGGCAGTCGCTTAACCAACTGAGCCACCCAGGCGCCCTTAGAACGACTAATTCTTAGTAAATGGACAGCTCACCTGCTGGGAATCCTGGAGCAGGTCAAGCTCTCAGTCACTCTTTCCCAGAGGGGATTAATAGCCTGGGTTTAGGGGCGACTGGGTGGCTCAGTCTGTTAAGCATCTGCCTTCAGCTCAGGTCATGATCTCAGGGTCCTGGGACTGAGTCCCGCATTGGGCTCCCTGCGCCTCTCCCTGCTCGTGCTCTCTCTCTCTCTCTCTCTCTCTCAAATTAATTAATTTTTTAAAAAGAGCCTGGGTTTAGTGGAAGTTGACTAAGGGCTTCTACTATACTTGCTTAGTGGGCTGTTGTGAGGATGGGATGTGAAAACACTCTTAAAGTGCTTAGAATGCTTCCTTAGCTCTTGTGGATGCTCATTAATTGTTAGTTGTTGTTGCTAATTGTTAGTTGTTGTTGTCATCATGACCGTTAGTATTATTATTATTAATGTTATTATTCAGCTCATGGAAAGACCTTGGGATAGGGTGAGTAGAAGCTCAAGAAAAAGTAAAAAGTGCCAGCCCCAGGGGCATCAAGTAACAATGGAGGTGGAAAGCGAGGATCAAATTGAGTAATTCTAAAACTCACACAAGAGGACCTAGGAGATATATCTCTGGGCGATTCAGGCAAAGGAGCATAGAGAAGGGGGCATGTTAGCTAAGGGGGAGTTATAATTCCAACATACTTATTTGAAGCATGATGATTTAGAACAAAAATTCCTAGATGCTGGTTCACAGACTAGTTGCTTCAGCATCACCTGGGAAGCTTGTTCAAAATGCAGAAATTCTAATTCCTGAGGTATGTAGTGAGACCTATGACCCTGTACTACTAAAAGCTGCCCAGGTAGATTTGGATGTGCGGACAGGTTTGGGAAGCCATACTGTGAAAACACAGAGCAGTGGAACTCAAGAAACTTGGGCTGTAGTCCTGGGTCCAGAATAGACTTGCTATGTGACTTCTCTGGGACTCCTCTGTCTTTGAGGGTTAAGGGAGTTGAAGGGTATGAAGTGTTTGTCCCTTGTAGAGTTCCCTGCACATGTAAGGGGTGATTGTTAAATTTTGGGCAGGTATTCTTTATGTTCGAGACCACCACATCAGAGTTCTTCCACCTGCTCTGCCCTCCCTGCTCTTCCCCCAGCCCTGGCAGCAGAGCAAAGGACTTGACCCTTGTGATCTAAAATCCCTTGCAACTGTGGTTTTTTAAATCTGTTTTGTTTTCTGTTTTGCAGACACCAGGTTACTATATGTTCATGTGGCTTCTCATGGATAGTGTTTCTGCAGTTCTCATTATTACCATATTTTATTTTCATTGGTAAGCCTATATTTGCAATTTTTAAAATTTTTTTAAAGATTTTATTTATTTATTTAACAGAGAGACAGAGACAGCGAGAGAGGGAACACAAGTAGGGGGAGTGGTAGAGGGAGAAGCAGGCTTCCCGCTGAGCAGAGAGCCTGATGTGGGGCTCGATCCCAGGACCCTGGGATCATGACCTGAGCTAAAGGCCGATGCTTAACAACTGAACCACCCAGGCGCCCCTATATTTGCAATTATAAATGAATTTTTCCCTAGATAAAAGTGTAAGTGGTTCTTATGGAAAGTTCAGAAAAAACACTTAGATTCTTCCTATAATCCCACAGGGCAAGCTCTCAGGAAGACAGGGTTTATAATCTGAATCTCTCATTACTTCTCATGCTGCCTGTACCTCCTCACATCCTTTCTGCCTCAACACAGGATAGTATTCTAAGGATAAGAACTCTCAGTAAGGCCTAGTCAAGTCCTGTTACTACAGATTCATTGTAGAACAGTTGGAAAAGGACAAAGGTTGGAGGTTGTACAGAACAAGTGCCTTATCTTCCCACCTTCCGTGACAAAAAGCAAGTTCACAAACTGGGAAGCCTGGGTTTTAGTCCTGGCTTTGTCCCTTAGTTGCTGGGTGGCCCTGGAAAATCACTGCCTCTTTCTAGTATAGTCTTATTATCTGTCCAAGAAGATGACATTTGAGAATCCTGCAAGGAAAATGTTACAGGATTGCAAGATTCAAGGTGGGAAAGGGAACATCCAGGTAGAAGAATTTTAGCTAGAGGAGACCATAGTTGTTCAGACCTCATCACACCCATCATTTCATCATTTGTGAGTTATCTTTTAAAGAGGAAAGTATAAACCCTGTACTTAAATGAGAATTTGACTGGATGATGTCTCTTTTGTGACCACTGCCTTGGATTATTGTCTTTTTTGGAAGAGGTCTTTGAGGCTCATGAATAGTCTCTTTCCTTCCAGGTGGAGACAGCGCAAAAAAGAAATGTTCAATAATGCCAGCATTCACACAGGTAAAGTCAGAGGTCTGCCCTGCTCCTATCTCTTCCTCCCTACCCACTGCTTCCAGGATGGAGACTGCTTTTCATTTCTCTGACAAGAGCTGAGAGAGTCTGGGGAAAGTGGGAGGTGGGGACCAGGGAGAAGCTGGGAATTGTAGGTTGGATGACCCTTGACGTCAGGCTTCATTTTGGACTTTATCCTTTGGCAGTGAGACCTCTTGGAAGATTTTGAGTATGGGTGTTTATTTGTTCACTTGTTCATATCTTAATTCATCACAAAGTTAGTTATTGAGTACCCCCTCTGTGCCAGGCACTCTTAAGAAGGGCTGAAGAAAGCTTGAAAGCTGTCATGGAGGGTGGCCCAAAGAGAGGAGGGCTGGCGCCCGAAGAGCAGTGAAGAAGCAGGCAAATGATAGGGCCAGGCACCACTGGGTCCAGCTACCAAAGTAGCTGTGTCATGCCCATTGGAGCTTTATGGGACTTCACTTATGGGTGATGTATGTTGGAGGGTGGAGGGAGAAAACTGCAGAGATCCTGAAATGCTGGACTAGAGTCTAGGCTCTGCACATAAGCAATCAAAAGATGGTGAATGAGCTTCAAACAAGAGAGCAATATGCTTATTAGATTTCTGTGTGAAGGGTTGGAATAACAGAATAACTATTATTTAGCGGAATAACTCAGGGGCTGATGAAGTGAGATAGGCCCAGTAAGGGGAAGGGAAGCTAGATTTTATTTTTCAGGAGGCTGTGGGGATAATCACACAGTTAGTGAGTGGTTGGGAAGCCAGTGCAGTGTCAAAGGAAAACCAGTTAGGAGGCAAAGGATTGGGCAATACATGATAGATTTCTTCCACAGCTCCTGGAGCCTTAGGTAAAGTTGGTACAGTCACAAAACCATGAAATACTTTAATTTCTTGTGGATAGTGGTGAAGATCCTGAAATGCCATGCACCAGCTGGCAGAGCGTTGAACTTATAAAATACTTAGAGTTGCAGGAATGGATCCATAGGGACCATGAAAAAATAAGTTTAGAAATGTGAATAGATTAAATAGAGAGCAATAGTCTTGCATACTGTGAAACAAGTTCAAACTAAGCTCACCCAAATCTCTTAAGGAGCAGAAATATCTCAAGTAACTCTGAGTTATATGGATTTTTAAGATCACTCTACTGGCTGTTAAGAAATCTGAAGGCTTTAGCCTAGCTACCTTATGATTTTCAGTAGCTGTATTAATAAACTAGGGCTGCTATAACTGAATACCAGAATGTGGATGGCTTAAACAACAGAAATTTATATTCTCAGTTCTATAGGCTAGAAGTCCAAGATCAGTGTGTCAGCAGGTTTGGTTTCTTCTGAGGCCTCTCTCAGCTTGCACATGGCCTTCTTCTTGTGGTTTCCTCATACAGCCTTTCCTCTGTGCACATACACATACCCAGTGCTTCTCAGTGTGTTTAGATTTTCTTTTCTCCAATCAGATTGTATTAGGCCTCATTTTAAACACTTCTTTAAAGGCCCTATATCCAACCATAGTCAGATTTTGAAGTATTGGGGGTTGAGGCTTCAACATGTGAACTTGTGGGGCCCAAAATTCAGCCCATAACAGTAATAGAGCCAAGAAATGGAAAAAACAAACACAAAAACAAAAACGAACCCATGGAAATGATAATGAAAGTATAGATGGGAGAGAAAGTTTTGAAGGAACAAGGAAGACTGAAGCTAAGACCACAGCCCAGATCCATTGAGGCTGAAGAGAATAGAGCCTCAGACACTAAGCAGGCACAGTGTCACATCTTGCACCACAACAACCTCCAGGATGGGCGGGTACTGCTGCAGCTGCTGCCACCACTATAAGGCATTTATCAGCTTTATAGCTTTAGGATGTATTTCTCAGCACTGTAAAGAAGTCAGTCCTTTGTTTTCTGCCTTGTATAGTTTCTTATGAAAAGTCTTGCACAAAAAAAAAGTCTCCCATTTTATCTTTGCTCTTCTACTTGTAATATGTCATTTTTCTTTAGCTGCTTTTTAAGATTGTTCCTTTTATTGCTGATTTTCAATAATTTGATTATGGTTTACTTTGGTATGTGTGTGTGTGTGTGTGTGTATGTATGTAACTATCCTGCTTGGGGTTTGCTGAACTCTTAATATAATTTTCATCAAATTGGATAAGTTTTCAGTCTTTATTTTTTCAAATATTTTCATGCTTCTATCCTCCTCTGGGATTCCAGTTACATAGGTACTATCCCATAGGTTGCTGAGACTGTTCATTGTTATTTTTAGCTTATTTAATTTCTGTGCTTCATTTTGAGTACATTCTATTTCTGTATGTGTTAGTTTCTTACTGCTGGGTAACAAATTATTGTAAACCTAGCAGCTTAAAATAATACAGGTTTATCATCTCACAGTTTATGGGCCATGGGTTCAGGCATGGATTAGCCAGGTCCTCTACTTAAGAGTTTCACCAGGCTGCGGTGCCTGGGTAGCTCAGTCTGTTGAGCCTCAGACTCTTGGTTTCAGCTTGGGTTGTGATCTCAGGGTTGTGGGATCAGACCCCACGTTGGGCTCCATGTTCAGCATGGAGTCTCCTTGGGATTCTCTCCCTTGCCCCACCCCCACCCCACCTGCTGTCTCTCTTGAATGTACTCTCTCAAATAAATAAATAAATAAGATCTTAAAAAAAGAGTCTCACCAATTTCATCTGAGACTTTTAGTCTTCCTCCAAGATCACTAGTTGTTAGAAGAATTTAGTTCCTTACAATTGTAGGACTGAAGTTTTTGTCTGTTTTCTTGATCACTGTTGGGGTTTTCTCTGAGCTCCTAGAGTCTACCTTCAGGTCCCAGCCATATGGCCCTCTTACAACAAGGCAGTTTACTTCTTCAAAACCAGCAGGAGAATATCTTATAGCAGATAGATTCAGGAAGAAGAGACCAAAGGGAGAAAAATAACAGGCAAAACAAACAGAAAACAAGCTGAAGCATAATAGTCATAAATCCAACCATTTTATTAATTACATCAAATATAAATGGACCAAATACTCAAAAGCAGAGGTTGTCTGACTGGATAGAAAAAAGCTGGACCCAACACACATTGTCTACAAAAGAAACACTTAAAGATAAAAGATTAAAAGTGAAAGGATAGGAAAATGACATGCCATGCAAACAATAAGCGTAAGAAGTAATATCTGAAAAAAATAGACTTCAAAACATGGAGCATTACTGGAAACAAAGATTTCATGATGATGAAAAGGTCAGTATATCAAGAAGGCATTATAATTAGAACTCTAGAAACTTGGGGCGCCTGGGTGGCTCAGTTGGTTAAGCGACTGCCTTCGGCTCAGGTCATGATCCTGGAGTCCCGGGATCGAGTCCCGCATCGGGCTCCCTGCTCGGCAGGGAGCCTGCTTCTCCCTCTGACCCTCCCCCCTCTCATGTGCTCTCTGTCTCTGTCATTCTCTCTGTCTCAAATAAATAAATAAAATCTTAAAAAAAAAAAAAAACTCTAGAAACTTAACACATGAAACAAAAACTGAGAGAAGTCATACTTAGGCATGTTAACATGCCTAACTGCAAGAACAACAAAACACACAAAAAATAAAATCAGAAAGGATATGGAAGTCTGAACAGCACCTGCAGCCACCTTGACCTAATTGACATGAAACATTATATACAACAACTGCAGAATATACAACATTTTCAAATGTACATGGCATATTTGCCAAAATAGACTACCTGACAAATCAAAAAACAAGTCTCGGGGTGCCTGGGTGGCTCAGTCGTTAAGCGTCTGCCTTCGGCTCAGGTCATGATCCCGGGGTCCTGGGATCGAGCCCCACATTGGGCTCCCTGCTCAGCGGGAAGCCTGCTTCTCCCTCTCCCACTCCCCCTGCTTGTGTTCCCTCTCTCGCTGTGTCTCTCTCTGTCAAATAAATAAATAAAATCTAAAAAAAAAAAGTCTCAAATTTAATTAGAAATAAACATTAATAAAATATCTAGATAAGTCTCTAAATGCTGAAATTAATGTATTTCTAAACATCCCATTGATCAAGGGATAAATCACAAGAGAAATTAGAAAATATTTTAAACTAAAGGATAATGCATCTGCAACAATGAAATTTGTGGGATAAAGCTAAAGCAGGACTTGGAAATTTGTAACTTTAAATTTTAGAAGGAAGAAACGTTTAATATTGATGAAGTTTCTATCTCAAGAATCAAATTTTTCCCCAAGTAAAGGGAAGGAAATAATAAAGATCGCAGGAATCAATAAAATAGAAGACACTCAAAAATAGAGAAAATGAGGGTCCATCTCTGGGTTCTCTCTTCTGTTCCATTGATCTATATGTCTGTTTTTGTGCCAGTACCATACTGTCTTGATGGTCACAGCTTTGTAATATTTGCAGTGATCTGAAGGGGCACATGCACCCCATTGTTCATAGCAATGTCCACAATAGCCAAACTGTAAAGAGCCGAGATGTCCGTTGACAGATGAATGGATAAGGAAGATGTGGTATATATATATAATGGAGTATTACTCAGCCATCAGAAAGGATGAATACTTACCATTTACATTGACATGGATGGTACTGGAGGGTATTATGTTGAATAAAATAAGTCAATCAGAGAAAGACAGTTATCATATGGTTTCACTCATGTGGAATATAGGAAACAGCACAGAGGATAATAGGGGAAGGGAGGGAAAACTGAATGAGAAATCATCAGAGAGGAAGAAAAACCATGAGAGACTCTTAATCATAGGAAACAAACTGAGGGTTACTGGAGGGGAGGTGGGTGGGGGGTTGGGGTAGTTGGGTGCTGGGCATTAAGGAGGGCACATGATGTGATGAGCACTGGGTGTTATATACAACTGATAAATCATTGAACACTACATCTGAGACTAATGATGTACTATATGTTGGCTAATTGAATTTAAATTTAAAAATAGAGAAAATGAAAAAAACTAAAGTTGATTTTTTTTAAAAAGATTAATAAAATTGATAAACTCTTAGCAAGATGAGAGAGGG